AGACGTCAATTTTCGAGGCTCCATCGTTCTGAAGGGCTCATTTTAAAGGGGAAGCTTCAAAGAATATGAACATATTTTTTTTAAATTTTAACCCTTTACGCCCCTCATTGAGAAAAACGCAAAAAAAGAATTTGTTTAAATTTTTCAACATTTTATAACAAATTGACAAAGTTAAAAAAAATATTTTAAAATAGCCCAAACCTTCACGAATAAAACAAAAAAAAAATGTAGCTAAATCGGTTCAGTAGTTTCTGAGAAAAAAATTCTCAAGTGGACCCCATTTTCGCCAAAACGGGCAAAAATTGCAAACTTTGACGGCTTGTCATTCATTAACAAATTCGAAACCGGCAAAATGATGACTTAAACCCCCCCCTAATTTCACATGCACTACAACATATTTCGATTAGAGCAAAATCGGAGATGGTGACTTCCAAAAGTGATCGATTTGGCGTGGAATGACCCTAATAATGTCAGCAGTTATAGAATAATTCCATGTAACTTTAATAATCTTATTCAACATAATTAAATACTTAAATAAAATTAAATAACTTAAGTACTTAAATAAAAAAGATAATAATATCACCTTAGTAAGTGGCGGTTGTGAACATTCATACAGGGTGTCAATGCCCAAATGTGACAGTCGCGATATTACAGGCAATATTTAATGACACAAAAGATTGTATGTATGGAAATTGCAGGATATAATGAGATCTATATTGTCGCGCAGACGAAAAATTTTTAATGTTATTAATGTGAAAGATATGATGGTGAAGTTTTGTTTCTTAAGTAAAATTATGTATTTTTTTTTTTATTCCGCAACAGTGCTTTTCAAGACGAATTTATTAACACCTTGCAGTCGAAGGTGTTTTTACTGCTTACAAACAGTAATTTTCAAACTTACTAGTTAAGAGGTTCAATGAATTCTTTTGAGATTATTATTTTTCTACTAATAATTTTCACTATTGTCCGTACCGAGGATGATGTTGTTAATAATTTGGAACGTTGTAACATTTATTTAATGTTTTAGTTGAAAGTAGGTGTAAAGACATTTAATTTTAATTTCTCAAAATTATACGAAAAATTTATTCTACGTATCTTTCATTATTCGAAATACATGTTTCTATTCGTCTCAGAAATTCCTTTTTTATGTTCATTAGAATATCTGTGGAGAAAAATACATTTTTCATATAATAAAATATTTTGAGAAATTAAAATGAAGTTGTCTTTATGCCTATCTTTAACTAAAACGTTTAAATAAATATTCCAACTCTCCAAATTATTAACAACGTCATACGTGATGCGGAAAATTTATCCTATATTTTCCAATCGAAGATCCCCGCTATCGGTTGTAATAGGCGGAGTCAAATATGCGGCACTTACCGCAACAATAACACCGTTTTTACTACTCAAATCGAGATGTCACTGCTGAAAATCAGTAAATTTCTAAGCATAATATTTCGAAAACTAATAAAATTCAATTAAATACATTAAATCTAAAAAAATCAGTCTTGAAAAGCACTATTGCGTGGTCGAAAAAAATACATAGTTTCATTTAAAAAATGAAACTTCACCATCAGATATTCTATATTAATAACATCAACAAATTTTCGTTTACATCAAAACAATAGATTCCATTTTATCCGGCAATTTCCATATAATATAATTTATCGTGTTATCAATAGTTCTTGAAATATTGTGACTGTTATACTTAGGTATGGACACTCTGTATAAACAGAATAGCTCAGGACATTGACCTTTGCACTACATCTCAAGGTCATCAAAATCAATGAGCGATGTGTCTTTGCAATTTAGAATGTATGTACGCGATAAATATGCAATGCTGATTATTAATCTTGACAAAATCGTTTAAAATTGCAAAGATGCCTCCATTCTCAATATCACAGATTTGTTTTTAAAGCCAAAATAATTGAAAATGGGAATAGAAGCCGTTTTCTTGGCTATCATGAAGTAAAGCTTGTCAACCTTATTTCAGACGATTTTGATGATATTGAGAACATAATTTTAGCAGTTCATAATTTTTAATAATCATAAAACTCGAATAAAATCTAAAATGTGTCCTTCACATTTTTATATTCGAAAAAATTTGAATGGTAATCTCAGAAAAAAATATAAACGAAGACGCTAATTATTTGTAAAAATGAATTTCTGCTTTTGTAATTAATCTTCATATCTGTTGATCACATTATATCAATTTTATGCCTTTTTTTGTTATACAGGTATACATTGCAGTGTTCCAGCCATTAAGAGTATCACGTCATCAGTTTAAAAAAGTATTAAATTGTATGAAGGTTATTCGACAATTGAAATATCAAGAAGTTTATGCCCAAGAAAAAGTGACCAAAGTTGATTCTTTATCTTTAGTACTTTCTGGAAAGTAAGTTGCTAATATAAATAATAATAAATGTTTATTTGTATATGTATAATATTTCAAAATGATTCTTGAATTTTATAACGATTTAATTTTCAATAGACATTACGAAACTTAAATAATAAAAAAAGATTTAAGTGCAAGTATTTTCTATAAAGCAGGAATTTTTCTATCGTCAGTTATAAATAATAAATATATTAGTATTTTATTGCGCCTTTGCATTTATGTATGATCAAATAAAAAATATTGACATTATATTATTTATTCAGATTATATCACTTTATACGTATATTGTAGGTTAAAAATATAATCGTGAAACAAATTACAGTCAAAATTATTATTTATTATTATTAATAACAATTACATATAATCTATTATTATTAATTATTCGAATAGAAAATAATGATTTCTCCCTTTGCGATGTACGTTTTCAGGTTAGTAGTATCACAAAATGGAAGAGCATTGCATATTGTCTTCCCACATCAGTTCCTGGATTCTCCAGAATGGTTTGGTGTATCAACAGACGAATACTTTCAGGTTTATATATTTATAATAACTTCATATACCTGTTGGATTCGCATGCTTGAAAAATAGGGCGATTCTCTCGAATATAAATTCAAGATTAGTATCATATTAGTCAATATGAAGTTGACTTCATCGTAACTAGATTATTATACGATATATTGTCATGTCACGTATGGTCATGAATTTGTATTGCTATACGTTAGAAACATTGTATATTATGTCTCTACATTCACGAGTGGATGCAGGTGTACAATAGCACTCATTATCGCTTACAATCGTCGTCGTTACGGTAATTCCAGATGATAATGCGGATAATATCAACATGACTAATATATGACGTGTTTGTGTACATTGATCTAATGTCATTGCCTTGATGTAATCAGTGGCAGTAGCTTTGGTTTAACTTGCGAGGAAATCACCCTGTACTATCAGAAATGTCGAATATCAATTATTCATATACAGGGTCGCCAGGTGCATGTAAGATGCCTTTGTATAAATTTAAATTAAAAGAAAAAAAGACACTAGTCTAAATGAAGATAAATTAAATACATTACAGTAGCGATGTGGCTCTTTTTGTTGAAAAAAAGAAGCATACTAGCCTTTGAAAGTACCATTTTAAAACCAGGAAAAAGGGTTATAAAACCATTTCTTTTCGGAATTAATTTACAATTCATAATTAAAGTAGCGAGTATTATTGAGTTAACATTGAGCAATGTTGACAAAAAAAGGTTTTCCAATTATTGGTATTAATTACTTAATTTTCAGGCTTACAAACTTTCAATTATAGGAATTTAAAAATTTGAAAATTTAACAATTTCGATTAAAAATTGGAAGATTAAGGAATTTAAGAATTATTTATTCCTTATCTAATTGAAACGTACATGGTACACGAGTATTCATATAATTTTAGAACCTTTTAAACGTGTGAACAATGAAAACGTTATCGAATTGGTTAATTGCTCTTGTACACGAAGCAATTTGCACACATACACACGGCAGCCCTATCCACACGACTTAGCTATAATTAAGCAAAATTGAATATTATTTCGAAATGTAAAATAATACTATACATATATGTAGGTATCAATAACAGCTATGGAAGAATCAAGGATATTATTATGGCATAGAGACAAGTTAAAATTAAGCATAATTAGTGATCAATTTCTGCAGGCAGTGTTTGATCATATTTTGGGGAGAGATGTAGTAAAAAAATTGATGCAAGTATGTTTATATTTATAAACGTTTTTATATATCTTTTCTTCAAAAATGAAACAAATAGAACTTATCAGTTTTATAAAATTTTAATCTTTTAAGTTTTTTTTTATAAAAATAATAAATTATTATAAATAGATGTACTTCATATTATTGCAGATATATTTTATTATAGTAAATTTAATATTTATAATTTCATTGGTAGTAGTGTTTGTGAAACATAATATTATTTAACAATTATTTTTTATACCTGTTGTAATTTTAGGTTAGTGAAACAATGGCTGCTAGCAACCACCAACAACAAAATGGACAAGTAATTGGTTTAGGTGGTATTGGAGCCTTAGAAAATGATCCTGATACCAAACTTTTTGTTGTAAAAAAGACTGGCGATAGTCAAGGTATTACTGCTCTCATCAGTCGCCAACTTCAAGGTAAGTACTGTACAACCAATAATTTCTTGTTTGTAAAAGAGAAAAAATTAAAAGCAGTTATAGGAGATTTATTCTTATTTTTTAGAATATGAATAAATATCACTATAATGTACTCATTTTTAACGAAATATAAATCTTTATTTTTGTATGTAAACATTTTTACGTTATTGTATTCAAAGCATGCATGTGTATGAATGTGTGTACATGCGCGCCAATCTTGATAAAATGTAATAAGGGCATAACCACAGTATATATAACAAATAACATACAATAAAGTAGATATAATATGAGATGCCATTTGAATGTGAATGAATTGCTATCCTGTTTAATTATGTTATTTATAAACAGATGTATATAAATAATTAATTTACACATATAATATATATACATGTGTGTGTGTAAATTAATTTTATAATTAATCATGCATATACATATTACCTGAAAAGGTGAAACAAGGTTTAACATCTTATGAAACACTACATTTATGTATATAGAATAGTGGGGTAAGCACACACATTGGTATTGTATATTTACGTCAGATACGTATTTCTTTGTGTCTTTATATATACTTAATAAACTTATATTTATTATGTTACTGCATACACTTTGTCTGTTAATTGTAAAATACAATTTCGACAAACTTGATCAACAAAAACAATTCATACTTATTTACTTTAACACATTTCTTAGCAGAGTCTTCTTTGCTTTCCTTCCATTAAGCTACAATTATAAAGTAATCTGTGTTATATCATTGCAGTCTGATAATATACAACCTAGTTGATAATATACAATTAGCGTAACATTGCAGTGTAAATTAGAGTTGATGATTGTATTTGAATTCTGCAGTTTATGATAAATTATTCCATGCAAGCTACAGAAAAATATTATCTGGATTTGATCTATAGTTTTTTCTCATTACATTATTGCATAAAATTAATTTTTCATTGTATTTAATTGGACGCTGCAAAAAATTTTCTTAAATTTATTTAATACAAAGCAAAAGTTATTACCAGTTTCAAAATTTCTGAATACTTTTTTATTAAGAGATTAAGAAAAATCTTTATTCTAACTTGTCGTAAATTCTAGAACTGTTCCTAATATGAACAAAGTAGTAGACAGAATTTATGCAGCAACTTAATATATCTGAGTCATTGATTCATGTCAAAGATTTTGTTTTAAATTTGCAGATAATGTAGTGCACGCGAAATTAGTACAGGCTTGAATTGTTATTTTACTGGTTTCAAATTTGATTAAAAAATTGAATTTGCACTCTTTGTTAATCAAATTTCTATTAAGTTTATACAATATTTTATTTAGAATAAAATTTTTGATATTAATGACAGAAAGTGATTGATTTGATACGGAATGACTGGTTTTCATTTGCATTACAATTTGTAATGGGAATTTATTATATGTGTTTATATAATTTATTCTATATGTTTATATAATTCTAGAGACGTACATTTTAATATTGTCAATAATCTTGACTTTTTATGTCAAAAATAACTTTCTTTACTTAATTGTAATTAGTAGAAGGCTATCACATAATGATTTGAACATGAAAAGACTATTGCCAAGAAGTGATTATAAATGTATGAATATAATTTTATATGTTTATAAAATATTGAATTCAGTACTTTTTACAAATATTAATCTGCTAAATACCGGTGTATGTTTAGACTCACTTACCTAAAATTCAAGTCTTTATGTTCTGCATCCATGTTTTTTAAAAGTGATATAATTTTTGCATTTAACTTTGGTAGAGTTTTCATAATACACTGGTAAAACATTGGATCATCGTTTAAATTAGTTGAAAACTGATAAAATCTTGGAAAATTATTTTCAAAGAATGAAATTTATATTGATAGAGAATTGAAGTTTACTTTTCCTAACTCGACAAACTAAACAATTTTGAATGTAGTTTATAGCTTGTTAATTTCAAAATCTAATGAACTGTTTATAGCCTTTTCAAAATACAAATATTAAAGTAAAAAAATTAAAATATCATTTCTATTCATTATTGATGTATGTTGCTATTGAGTGTTATTAATAGGAATTCCAACTTATTTGTAAGCAATTTGAAACAAAATATTTGTATAATTAAGACTGTTAATTAAATTTATATGAAATTTAATGTACGTTTTTAGAATTGACAATAATAAATATATTTATGATATTATATTTATCTGGTTACATTATGTAAAAACACTAATTAATATAAGATTTTTTAAATGGTTACTTCCATTAATGATATAAAGATTGACATTTTTAATTATATATTTTAATATAAGTATTTGCAGAGTACATAACAAATATATTATGGATTTTGTTTTGCATGATTGGTGCATGCTCTTGCATGAAGTATGAAACTAATGATATACATTTCCATATTTGTTATGCAATACAGGACACTCTTTTTATAATTTTTGCATCAATTTTAATTTTGCTTTGGATAGAAGAGAGAATGCCGCTGCTGTACACAACTCAGGAAGTGCTGAACAACACTTTGCATCACATCAATCACTTATGTATACCTACCTTACATCCTGTGCAAAACAGCAACGTTCAATCTTCCTTGTAACATTCCTGTGACACAAACTGTGCAATTACTTCGCACAATTTATACGCGATGTATGTTATATTTCTGCAATGGATGTCCATAAAATAATACAAATATCATTGGGTAACTTCATTTATTTTCTTCTGGTTATTGTTTTCAGGTGAGTTGTCTTTGTGTTTATGTACTTTTGGTTTATATTCTGTTTATTCCAATAATTTGATCGACACTTGTTACACTATTACTATCAGATTTTATAGAAAAGATAAATCCATTTTGCCATGTGATTGTCAAATATCGTGATGCGTTTTTCTTTTATGTCACGAAATATCAGTTGTGCAAAGTAAAGTCTCAACTAGTATTTAATACAAAAACAGAAAAATAGCTAGTTTTCATACATGTTTGTGCGATTGCCTTAGCTGCAGAAATAATTAATACTATATAGGAGTACATCAATAATATATTATTAATATGCATAACATATACAGGGTGTCAGTGCTAAAACGATAGACCTCTCTTATTTTGTTAACGATACAAAAAGTTGTTTGCATTAAGACTATATGGTAAAGTTGAAAGAATGTTCCTGTGATAACGAATTATTTTTACATTCTTATTTCAAAAGGTACAAAGGCTAATTACTGTTTAAAGTGGAAATATGTATATTTTTGTAAAATTATTTAGTAGTACTCTTTAAAATGAGTTCATTAACCTTTAATGTATAATTAATTGTAATTAGTTTTTAAAACATAATGTTTATAGTGCGAACATATTATTATAGTCACAATATAATGCGGTTGTAAAATGCTTCAAGAAGTGGTCTAGGGTGGAGTCATAGTATTTAGAATTGTAATGCATTCTATTTTAGTTTTTGTTTGATATATTACATAAATACCATCAACTACCTTTTTGGCATGTGTATATGTATAAATGTTAGAAAGCGTAAAAGTGATAAGAGATACATATTGAATAATAGAGCAGAGTTTCTCAACTTACGGGTCGGAAATGATGACTACTATTTTAATATTTCTTCCAATGTAAAGCTCAGAGAAGAATCAGTGTAACAAGATTGTATGGTACAAAGGGGTTTATTATATAGCGATTCTAAATTTTGTCCAAGTGGAGGCGCTTCGAAGATATGAAGGTCATCTCTGTTTTTTTAATAGAACGGCATATTTTTTTAATTACATTTTGGTAGGGTATATCAAGGCATTATATAAATATAAATATAAATGATCAGTTATAAATGATCAAATACAATGATCTATTGGGAAGGTCATTCATGGTCTGGGTTAAGCCAATTGTGATGGAAAATAATTTACTTTTAAGAAATGGTTAAACACTTTCGCGCTGTTTTTGGTTGTTGATATTACTTTATCTCTGACTTGTAATCTCTTATTATAGGTTGTTGAATGAAAATAAATATTCACTCACGTTATATGTATACTTCATCTGTACGTACTATGGTTAGCCGTTTATGAAAATCTCTGTTGAGCGAAGTAAATCTTAAATTTCTGAAATGCGTTATTCAATAGCGAAAAAGGAAGGTATGGTTTTTGTTCATGGAGGATATCGTCACATTTTAAGAGATGGAGTCTGTTCGTATGCTGAACGTACATATGTAGTCGCGTATTACTCGTGTGTTACTCTATCAGAATATGAGTCAAAAAATATACTGTTCCATTGAAACTAATAGAGATGACCTTCCTAACTTCGAGGCGCCTCCACTCGTACAATAGACCCCTTCGTACCGTACAATTTCGGTTACACTAATTTGTCTCTGAGTTTTACAGATTCGGAGATATTTAAGGTGCTAATAGTTATTGCCACACTCTGTATTTGCCAATGATCTTATTCCAGAAAATGAGATGAAATTTGATAACAGTACTCTCAAAAGAAGGATGATATACATACAACACAGTTAGAATAGTTTTATAAGTATTTAACAAAAAAGGATTATTGTATAATAAAATATGACTTTAGTATTATGCAACAATATCGACATTTTGGTTCATATGTTTCATTTTGTATTAATAAAATATTTTACTTACAAAGTACTGTAATAAAGTATATTAAACTTATCATAATTGAATAATTTAAATAATAAGGTATATTATTTTTCCAGGAAAAAAGATATCATGGAACATATAACAATATAATTTTACATTATCTTGATTCTGCATATTATATTGTAAAGTCAATAACACAAGTTTGTCATATTGGAATCATTTTTATCTCAAAGACATCAAACGATGTTAACGTTTTTTATTTAGGTGTATCATTGTCGGCATTACAGTACTTGTTATTTCAACTGTATTAGTAAATTTATAAACATTATTTGTCAAAAATCAGTCAGCCATATCTATACAATGTTATCAAATAATGAGCTGAAAAAAATGTATAGCATTTGGAAATACAATTTGATTTGCATATTTCATGAAATATA